AAGAATTTTAACAAATTTAGCATTCTAGTATGCCGTTTTTCTGTCTCAAACACTTCAGACTTCTAAGAGTTAAAATGCTCTGAAGTACTAAACACTGACTACATTTAAAAAAAATAATACCAATTAATTTTGGCCCAATCTTAGCTCTGCTATGCAATGACATCATAAAGCAAAATGAGGAAATGCATCAAATTTGCCTTTAAAAAAAAATCAGTGTAATCTAATCTAGTCCTGATTAGATTATATTGTAACCATAACTGTATGCCCATCCCAACTTGTTGTTACAAGGAGGAGTTACAATTGTTTGGCTCTGCATTTCTATAACTTAACTTGAAAATTATTTTTTTTTTTAAATCACAAAATTTGGGCCAATTTTGATGTGACAATATCAATTTATCTCATTTGCATTTCATCCATTGTGCTATCATATTTTATTCTATATTTAAACAACTGAAATGATCAGCCCTTGCATAGAACTTTAAGTTAACTAATTAATTCTAATTAAATCTCTGAAGCAGATAGATATTTATACCCACCTCACAGTTAGGGAAACTGAAAGTAGACATTTTAAATGACTTGCTAAAAATCAATAGGAAAATCTCTATCACAACCAAGGTTTGAACTCAGAACCTCAATCTTAATCATGCACCCAGGCCATCAGAGCAAATAACTGACAGTGAATAGAGCTGTATTCTATTATCATCAGGGCTCGACAAATCCGTATTTCAGTTGGTCGCCCCGTTCACCGGTGGTGCGCGCATGCGCAGTGCAGGTCTGGCGAGTGGATTTCACCGCGGTTTGTCGAGCCCTGATTATCATCATCAGTGGCACTGAATTGCTCACCAATTGAACAAGTCATTTAGTTTCTCCCTGACTGACACTGTTTCATGCTCTTTCTTGATGGGGTGTTGTGAAAATTCTTTAACGTTTGCAAAGTATTCTGAGTTAAAAGGTAATATAGAAATTCAAAGCAGCATTTAACCATTTACTGAACTCATTGCGATTACACACATGCTTAAATATCTTGCCGAATCGGGCTCTTACTCTTTGACATACTCCTGACAACAGAAGCCTTATAAAAATGATCTATTCCCTAAATTCCAAAATCCAGACAAGTGAAAAATCACAATGCATACGCTGTTGAATTTATGGTCTTACTGAGCCCTTTGGAAGAAAAAATATATCAATTTTTTTTCTGATGGAAGTTACAGATCAAAAATATATTATCCTCAACAAATTTTTGTTGTTCAGACTGTTTAAGGCGAGTTCACTGCACATTCAGCAAATGCAATGTTTTTCTTTTCTAAATTTAGGGATAATTGTATTAAATATTATTTGGGGTGACAGGCACTTTTTGGGATTTCTTTTTTAAAAATAAGGTTCCTGCTGTCAAGATTCTGCATCAGGATTATAATCCAGAATGATTTATACAAATTTGAAAAATTTCAGTGAATGATGTATGCTTCCTTTAGCTAGAAGTTCACAAATTAGATTTTACATGTCAAATATTGAAAAGAGAAAACCGAAGGAGGTCAGTGTTTCAAATATGATTGATTTTTTCAATGGAAATGGGTGACATGATGCATTACTGCAATAAGACACTCATATTTCTGTTATCAATCATAGGTTTCTGGGAGGCCTTTTTTCCTCAGGAAGTCATGCAAAAGTATCTTGCTCTGCTCCTATGGAGACTTCCATAAAAAACACTTTTTAAAAAAAAACACATTACTTTATTCCTCTCTGAATTTGCCTTGACAGCTGGGTACTTCTGAATGAATCATTGTGTACATTTAAAAGTTTAGTGTTTGATCAATAGCTATAAAACAATATACAGATGCTGAAACTATTTTTTTTGGAAAGAAAAATAATTCTTCTTTAACCCAACTCCAAAAACATGTCAATTTTATTATACTGTAATGCATTACTTAATTGTTCATGTTTCAATTGTTTCCTACACACCATATACAAGGACAACAGTTGAATTAACAGGAAACCAAAAGGCTTTAATAGGAAATGTATTAATTTTATCTGGTAAAAACTGAATTGCTACTATGAATAATATACTTTCAGTTGTACTCTTTTTTTTAAGCAAAATGTTGTCAAACCAAATCTGAAAGGTATTGTGGGGAAGCTTGTGTTGCTGATTCTCAGCGCTGGATAAAGAAAGGGCTAGTTTTCCCACTCTGCTGGTCTTAAACCTAGTACAGACAGCATATGAAGTGCCCCTCCTTCTTCAACCCGGGGCTCCCAACATTCAGTTTTAGATAAACAATACAATTTTTATTGCAGCTTAACCTCTTATTTATAGGCCTCTGCCTTGAATACTGCAAAGCTATAACAATTCAGTGGCAGCACAGACGAGCTAAATGCAGGCCGAACCTCTCTTGTCTGGCACCCTCGGGATCTGAGTGGTCCCAAACCACACAATCTGCCAGACAAGGGAGGTCAAGGCTCCCTACCCAGGTGTAGGGTTCTGCTCCTGCTGGGACTGTGCACCGTACCACCTGCCCTGCTGACTCAGCAATGCCCCCAAACCAGCCCTGGACGGAGGCCACCCCCGCTGACTCCAGCCCTGGCTGTGACTGTGCTATTGGCCACTGGTCCTGCTGCTTTCAGCCCCAAGTTGGGGCTTCACTCCCGATCACCAGCCCAGTGTGGGCTGCGCTTCTAAACTGGCCAGCCAGCGCTGGATCAGCAGTAACCGTGGTCTCACCACGGATGTTGCTGGACCAGAGAGTCCTGGGTTTTAGAGATTCAACCTGTACTTATGGTTCAATCCTGCAAACACATTTGCTCAGATGGTTATACCTATTAAGTTCTTGTGTGTGAGTATGGACAAAACCGGGCCCTGAAGCTCCTCCTGAAAACAGTCCAAATAGCACAGACAGAAAGACCAAACAATCTGAAAGCTAGTTTGACAACCTAACGGAAACCAACATTGATGAAAACATTTGTCATCAAATTAGACTAACAGTGTGTCTCAAGTTGATAATTCTGCTAAAAAGTAACAAAGAAATATCCCTCATCAGAATTTCCACACAGGGTTACAGACCATTTCATTGAAATTATACACAGATGCAGCATAAGCAGCCTTTATAATTTTTTTTAAATTATAAACTATACTTATACCTCTGCTTCAAAGGGGGTATATGGCAGGAATCAAAAACACCTCTCATGCCACATCAAACTATTTAGGTGCTCATAGCAGGGTATTCTGCATCATTTTGCAACTGAGGCAAAGTACTGCATTAAGACACACTCTCAATGAAGTCAACAGAATACTATGGGCCAAGTATCAGTTGAAGATTTGAACACTGCTGTTTATATCGCAGTTCTACAATTAAACAACTCTGCATCAGTGGCAGGAAGCCTGCTTCCCATGGGCCACATCAGGCCCATTGGGTTCTATGTGTGGAGCATGAAACATATACCTTTGCTTACCCACAGGATTACCAGATATTGCTGGCTTCTGTCTGTGTAGTTATTTTCCTACTGGTATTACTAAACTGACACGCATGTAAAGCAAGGGCATGCGAAGTGAGGTGTGTGCTGAATGCGCACGGCGCTGACTGTGAGAGCTGTGTACTAGGGATGTCAGCATGTAAGCAACTATGCAATGAATTGATAAGCCTGTGCTTATCGGTTAATCCTGTCGATTACACACACTCCCTCCCTGCTTGCTGCCTCTGAGAACCAGATCCTGTGGAGCCACTTGCCCTCCTCTACCCCCACTGCTGCCTCTGACAGAGAGGCAGCAGCGCGCAGGGTGAGGGGGAAGACAGCTTTAAGTCATCTGCCTGCATAGCGGCAAGGCAGGCAGGAGTTGGTGCTCCAGGAGGAGCTGGCTTAAAAGTCAACTCTCCATGATTACTGTCTCTGCCTGTCCTCCCGCCTTCCCGTGCTGCCACAGAGCACGGATAGAGTCTGCTTTGTGGATGATGGCTCAGCTTTTGTTTGTGGGGAGCTTGGGCCCCCTGTGGACAGGGGTGCCACCTCATGCTGCTGCCTCTGTTTCAGGCAGGGGAGAGCCGTTTTTTTTTGATAGGGTGTGTCTAAACTACATGGCTCCATCGATGGAGCCATGTAGATTAGGTTGATTGGCAAAGGGAAATGAGGCCGCGATTTAAATAATCGCGGCTTCATTTAAATTTAAATGGCTTCCATGCTGAGCCGACAAACAGCTGATCAGTTGTTTGTCGGCTCAGTGCGCTAGTCTGGACACTCCCGCGCCGACCTGAAATCCCTTTATTGATTTGCCTGTTATGCCTCGTAGGATGAGGTTTACCGGGGAGGTCGATAAAGGGCTTTCATGTCGGCAGGGGAGCATCCAAACTGCCCCGATCTGTCGACAAACAGCGGATCGGCAGAGCAGGGCAGCCATTTAAATTTAAATGAAGCTGCGATTATTTAAATCGCGGCTTCATTTCCCTTTGCCGAACAAACAAATCTACATGGCTCTGTCGACGGAGCCATGTAGTTTAGACGTACCCATAGAGAGGCAGCTGCGCAGAGTGGCAGGGGGCTTCCTGGAAGTGCGCATTTGTTGCTGTCCCCACCTCTGGGGAGTATCGAATAGTTGTTTAACAGCTAAAATTTGACGCAGTTACATGATTATCCAATTACACTTCTACTGTGCACTCCCTCCCGATAGTGCTGCTATGGTTCAGCTGACACACTTTACAATTTTTTAGGCATGCAAGCGCTTTGTAACTAAGACGGTCTCTTGGGACAACAATCTTCCAGCCCACTGAGATGACGGAAAGCCACTCATGTACCCCACTCACTTACCTCAGTTGCCCCTCACTGCTCTCCATTAACTCTTTCATCTAACTTTCAATGTAAGCAAAAAATGCTACATGCTGCAGCACATTCTGTACTTACCAAATAGGAGTATGGTGCATGAAACTTGGATGTGGTTGTTACACATACCAAACCTTGCCACAATATCATTTAATTTAATCAGTGAAAGTGTCTTTAACAATTTTTTTTCCGTTTCTCACCTTAGCAGCTGCACCTGTACAACAGATAACTCCTTCCTTTGGATGAGTCTCAGTGTTGCCTGCTGAATATCAGAACAGAATAACCAACTTCTGTCATTTGAACATGGAGCATCTAGTAGTACCTGTATAGCCAATGAGTAGAAGAATGAACAAAAGTATTAATTGCAAAGTAGAAAGCGAAGTTACTCACCTCCCGTGCAGTAACTGTTGTTCTTCGAGGTGGTGTCCCCAAGGGTGCTCCACTATGGGTGCTGGGCTTGCCCCGGTGCCGCAGACTTGTCATTAGCAGTGTCTGGCCGGACCACGCATGTGCCGCAGGCTCGCGGCTTTCGCGCTCTTTCTGTCGCGCGGTCCGGCCCCTCCGCCAGTTCCTCGAAACCGCCTCGGAGTCTGTAAGAGACAAGCAGAGAGAGAGAGAGGACTCCGAAGTGGGGAGGAGGGCGGGGAGGGGGGCACCTGAGTAACTTCGCTTTCTTCTTTGGGGATGTCCCCGCGGGTGCTCCACTATGGGTGACTGCATAGCGGTAGTCGCCGAAAGAGGAAGGAGGGCAAGGAGACCCTATTTATCCGCCGTGGAGAGCACCGCAGTCGCCACTGCCCCATCTGAGTGAGAGAGAGAGAGAGATAGAATAATGCTTAGCGAAGGTCCCATGAGAGGACCAGGTCGCCGTTCTGCAAATGTCCTTCAGAGATACACCTGTAGATGTGGCCATGGCTCTAGTGGAATGAGTGTGTGGTTGGGAAGGAAGGGGCAACCCTCTCGTTGCGTACGATTGCACTATGCATGCGGTTACGAGATTGGAGATTCTCTGGGAAGATAGACGTTAACCCTTTGACCTGTGTGCCAGGGAAATGAATAAAAGGTCCGTAAGCCTGAACGATCTATGTAGAACGCTAAGGCCCTGCTGCTGTCCAAGGAATGTAGGGCCACGTCTCGTGGCGAGGCATGGGGCTTCGGGAAAAAGGTTGGCAAGATGACTGGTTCATTAACATGGAAATTGGAGACAATCTTGGGTAGGAACCTCGGATGTAATCGCAAGACTACCCCATCGCTACGGAAAATCGTATATGGTGGAATGGCCATCATGGCGGAAAGCTCGCTAACCCTGCGTGCAGAGGTTATTGCGAGCAGGAAAACCGTTTTCAGAGTGAGGAATTGTAAGGATACGGTCGCCAGAGGCTCCGACGGTGGCCTCATTAGGGCGTTGAGTACCACGTCCAGGCTCCACACAGGAGGGACTGGGTTGCATGGTGGGTCTATATTGATAAGGCCCTTGAGAAATCGTTTAGTCGTAGGATGGGCGAAGATAGAAATGCAATCTATAGGTGGTGTGAATGCTGATATTGCTGCGAGGTGCACCCTGATGGAGGCTAACGCAAGACCCTTGTTTTTTAGGTGCAGTGCATAGTCCAGTACGGAGGAAATGGACGGACGTGTCAGATCGTGGTGGTTCGAGGTACACCAGGAGGAGTATGTGCGCCACTTGTGAAGGTAAGTTTTCCTCGTGGTTTGTCGCCTACTCTGTACTAGGACGTGTTGGACTGCGGCAGAGCAGAGAGATTCACAATTGTTCAGCCAATTAGGAACCATGCTGTTAGGTTCAGCATTTGTATCTGGCGATGTTTCAGGCGTCCTTGGGCTTGTGTGAGGAGGTCATGGAGAGGCGGAAGGCGGATCGGCGTCCGCACAGAGAGGTGGTGCAGGAATGTAAACCAGTGCTGGCGAGGCCAATCTGGGGCTATGAGGATTAGCATAGCCCTGTCTGCCTTCAGCTTCTGAAGGACCTTGGGAATGAGAGGTATGGGGGAAAATGCATAAAGGAGGGGTCCGCGCCAAGTCACAAGGAAGGCATCCCCTAGAGATGCGCGGTCCAGGCCCGCTCTGGTGCAGAACTTGCGGCATTTTGTGTTGGCGGGAGTTGCGAAGAGGTCCACTCGGGGAGTCCCCCAACGTTGGAAGATGTCGCATAATACGCCGTCGTGTATTTCCCATTCGTGTTTCGAGTGGAAGTGTCTGCTCAGGAAGTCTGCCGTCACGTTTGTGGTGCCAGGTAAGTAGGATGCCAAAGGAGTCACCCTGTGGTGAATGAACCAGTTCCAAAAGCGGATAGCTTCCGTGCATAGCGAATGGGAGCGAGCGCCGCCCTGGCAATTTACGTAGTACATGGCTGCGATGTAGTCTGCAAGTATCGCCACAGTGGTATTTCGAATGTAGATGAGGAAGGATTTGCATGCGTTGAAATAGCACAAAGCTCTAGGAGGTTTATGTACAACCTTGCTTCTTGTGGGGACCATTGGCCTTGTACCGAAAGGGAACCCATGTGGGCCCCGCAGCCTAGTAAGGAGGCATATGTTGTGATTTGGTGGAGAGGCTGCTGAGGGTGAAATGGTCCGCCCGACAGCAGGTTTGTGTGGCTGGTGCACCATCGGAGTGATTGAAGAACGCCAGGTGGCGGTGTAACGGGCCTGTGGAGATCGTATCCGGTGTGGTGGGATACGAGGGTCAGCCAGTGCTGAAGGGCACGCAGGTGTAGTCTGGCGTATTTCACCACATACGTTGTGGCGGACATGTGGCCCATGAGTCTGAGGCATGTGATGAGTGGAACGGTGGGGCTCACAGTGATAGTGCAAATGAGGTCCTGGATGGCCTGAAATCTCTGCAATGGTAGGAACGCTCTGCCGGCAAGTGAGTCCAGACGGGCCCCAATGAACTCGATGTCCTGAGTGGGATGCAAGACAGACTTCTGTTCGTTGAGGAGGAGTCCGAGCGATTGAAAGACTTGCATCGTGAGGTGAACCATGTGGGAGACCTCGTGTGCCGAAGCGCCTTTGAGCAGGCAGTCGTCCACATAAGGGAAGATAAACACCCCTTGGCGTCGGAGAAAGGCCGTTACCATGGATAGGACCTTTGAGAACACCCGGGGGGCTGAGGATAGCCCGAAGGGGAGGACCTTGTATTGAAAATGGTCCTTCGCCACGACGAAGCACAAGAACCTTCTGTGAGCAGGGTGGATAGGGACGTGGAAATAGGCATCCTGGAAATAGGCGTCCTGGAGGTCGAGGGCGGCAAACCAGTCCTGTGGATTTAAAATAGGGATTATGGCAGCTTAACGTTGTCATTTTGAATCGTTGTTTCCTGAGATATTTGTTCAGACGACGGAGGTCTAGGATAGGACGCCAGCCTCCGGACCTTTTCTGGGTGAGGAAATAGTGAGAGTAAAAGCCCCTGTTCCTGAAGTTCTTCGGAACTGGCTCTATGGCACCCAGAGAGAGAAGGCTGTCGACCTCTAGTCTGAGGAGGGTCTCGTGAGAGGGGTCCCTGAAGAGGGACGGGATGGGAGGGGTGGTTGGTGGGATGGCTATGAGAGGGATAGGATAGCCGAACTCAACAATCGAGGACCCATTTGTCCGTGGTGATTGTTGCCCATTGATGTAGAAAGGGTCTTAGACGGTAGTGGAATAGCTGGGTTGAACGATTCACGGTGCTGCCTGTGGCTGTGTGCTCGCCCTCGACCAACACATCAAATCTGCTGCTTGCTGGAAGGCATGTTCGTTCTGCTGTTCGGGTTTCGGCATCATTGAGGCCTCTGGCGAGAACGCTGGTTGTCGAAGGGCCTCTGTTGTTGGTGCTGCTGTTGCCATTGGTGTCTAATGTAGGGGTAATCATATCTGCGCTGATATGGTGAGTACCGTCGTCTCTTAAAGGGGGGCATGTACATCCCCAGAGTTCGCGGGGTTGTCCGAGAGTCTTTAGAGGAGTGCAGGATTGCATCCATGGTCTCTGCAAAGAGCTTATCCTTGTCGAAGGGTAAGTCCTCGACTTTTGTCTGTAGTTCCTTTGGAACTCCTGCCGCTTGAAGGAAAGAAGCTCTACACATAACAATAGCCATAGCGGCAGAGCGAGCAGCAGTATCAGCGGTGTCCATGGCCATCTGGAGCGATGTTCTCGCTGATGTGTAGCCCTCTTGGATGACTGAACTCAGGATCGATCTTTTTGAATCGGGGAGATGATCCATGAGGGAAGTGAGGCATGAAAATGTATCGAAGGTATGATTGGAGAGATGCGCCGAGTAATTGGCGATTCTGAGGAGCAAAGCCGCTGAGGTGCATACCTTCCTGCCCAGGATGTCAAGGCTCTTTGCGTCTTCA